ACAGAAATCAAAATTTTTTCCTTCTTTTTCAACTACATATTCTCCAAAAAAGTGTTATTCCAAAAATTATAACATCATATAATGGGGGCCAAACGGGGGCTCAATTTATAAGTTCTTGTTTGAAATTTTGTTTACTATAAAAGTAATATTTTACATATAAGTTAAATGTTAACTTAAAAAGTAAAATATTTATTTATAGTTCAATTTTTAATTTTTAAGTTAAGTTTTATAAGTAAATTTTATAGTTGCAAGCTAATTGTGTACTCATAACTAATTTTTAACACACAAGTGAATTTTTTTACCATTAAATTTTTATATTTTATAAATACTTGTTTTGTCGAGTAGTATTTTTTTTTTTTTTTACTTTGTAAGCTATTTTTTTAAATGAAAGTAAGTTTTTGTCTTTTAAGTGATTTTTTTTACTTACAAGTAAATTATTAGTTATACATTAATTTTTTTTGCTTGTATGTAATTTTTTATTTATTATATATTTCATTTATAACCAATTTTTTTTTACATACAATTGAATTTTATCTTGTAAAATAATTGTTCTAGAGAGGGTAAAATTGGAAGAAAATTTGAAAATGGCGAAAATCACTGATTTAATGGATTGAGAAATATGATCTAGACTATACTAGTGCCTAAAAAAAACTAACAAGCACTAATTTTTCCAACCTCTCAATAACGGTGCTATCCAAGAAACAATCAAAATCAGTAGAAAAAAAAACTCTCAAGCAGCTTTAAGGCCATCTTCAATAATTAGCACCAAATTGGTGCTATTTTCACACCATTTTATAAAGTCATCTACAACCATTAGACAAATTATTACAAAGTGTTTCCTTAATTTCCTTATTTTTTAATTCTAAACAATTAATTTATTAAAATAAAATTATATTTTAATAATTAAAATATAAATTTAGTTTTATATTTGTTATTGATTGTTATTACTAAAATATTTTAACTATGAGTGTATATTTGTTATTTAATAATAAATTTTAGTTAAAAATATATAATATTCCAAATAAGACAAGAAAAATGATCATGGTAGAGTGTTCGGGGAGTGTTGGTATTCTACAAGCGTTCGACACGTATCGGACACGGACACGCTATACTAATTGAAGTATCCGTGCTACAGAGCGTTTCTTGCTCGTGACATTAGTTTATTCTGTATTTTCGTCCCCAAGTTTGATCTGTACTTAATGAAGTAGAAACTACATGTTGGTCACTATTTGTGTTATATGCCTAATTGCTGGTGTGAGATGAAAGTTTTATTTTGCACTATGTGATGTCTTGTGTGAGTTGGAATTAGTTCAGAACTGTGTTTACCATAAACTTTGATGTGTGCGCTAGGTTTTAGGCTTGTTTCTGCTGGTATACATTTTCTAGTTGATGCTTGACTAAAAAATGTGAAATTTTTTCAGATAAAGGAAGTATAATTGATATATTTTATGATTTTTATTATGGAAAGACTTGCGTGAGGTGATTTTGGAATGTTGGACAGCAATTTACGTAAGCTCTTGTGGATGGCTTCAGAATTTGGTACAATATTGACATCGCTATGAACCTTGTATGCATGTTATAACCGTGGATTTGTTGTTGGAACTTCGGTTTGCCGTTGTAAAATGATTTCACTCTCTTTTGTTAATAGTGCTGAGGAAACTGAAAATGGATCTGCTGAAGAAGCCGAAGATAGAGATCTACAGATGTGATGCTGCATTTCTACAGAAAGTTGAGAGATTTTGATTTTACTGTTTTTTGTCTGCTATGTTGACTAAAATTATTTTAAGGCACGACATCGATCCATTTTTGGTAGATTTAGAGGTAGAATATTTATTAGTCTTTAATGCTTTGTTTGTACCCAGTACGGTAACCATGGTAATGCTATTTCCATTTAATTTAATAGCTGCTCATTATTGTTATGAATTCTCGATGTGATCGAATTATATGGGTTCATCCAGGTTATAGGGACGATTAGAGGTGTTAATCCGGGTGGTCCGGGTCGGATCGGTCCGCCAACATATGAGCCCGATAACGACCTGTTTGAAAAAAAGCCCACCCGCTATGAGTTCCGGGTTGACCCACAATTTTGGACTACAATTCAGGCATGTCCGCTGACCCATGCAGGTCGAGCCCATGCGGATCAGGGGTAACGGTTTGTTCCGATTTGACCCGTATTATTGTATACATAAAATTATAAAAATATAAAATTTTTCATATTTATAGCAAAAAAAAATATTTTTTTGTTAAATATAAACTAAGAACTGAACAAAATGATAAATTCATATTTATACCAAGTAATGTTTACATAGAATTAAAATTTAAAATTACATGAATTATTTATAACTTTTATTTATACCAAGAAATGTTTACATAGAATTCAAATTTAATGTTACATAAATTATTTATAACTTTGCAAAGTTAAATTTAACTTAAACAAATAACAACTAAATGCATTTCTAATTACTATTATCAAATATTTATAGAATAAGTACAACAGCTCTCTCTCTCCTTCTTTTTTTCAAATTTTTTAATTTTTTTTCACGGGTTAGCGAGTTAACCGTGACCCGTGAAGGTGTAACCCACGAAACCTGCGGGTCACAACTCCTTGACTCATGAACCGCCCGCTAGGATAATGGATCGGCCAGCGATCCCTGGTCGATCAGGACCAATTTCAAGGGTTTGGTCGGCCCGTCCGTCTTGCCACCTTTAGAGACGATCAGTAAACACTTTGTAGACCTTTTGATCCGTCACTTCAATTTTATAAATAATATTGTTTGATTTGTGAAAAAGCTATGAAGGGATTACTGCTCTCGATATGGATTTTAGCTCACTAGATTTCAATAAAAAAGGCAATTTCTTGAAGTAGTTTTCAATGATCCACAAAAAAGTATTTACTCTGCACCTTTCTTGTACAGTTCTCTTCTCTTTCAGAACAAACGGCTAACTGATATCGATCGGGTCGCGCGGGTCGCGGTTCGTTCGGATTTGACTCGTACGATTGTATAAATAAAATTATAAATATGTAAAATTTTTCATATTTATAGCAAAATTTTTTTTTTTTTTTTGTTAAATATAAACTAAAAACTGAACAAAATGATAAATTCATATTTATACCAAGTAATGTTTACATAGAATTAAAATTTAGGGGGTGCTTGACACCCATTTTAGTGGAAAAATGTGTTTTTGAATAGTGATTGATGAAAGAATGTGTGGTTAAAAAATAAGGAGAATTTTTAGGTTTATGTGTAATATTATTTTATTGATAGAATGTGTGGTTGAAATGAAAAAAGTGAAAAAGAATGAGAATGAGAATGAGAAAAAAACAGATGCCAAACGGGGGCTTATACAATGTACTTAATAAATATTGAAACGTTTTAATTATTTAATTTAAACATATAACATCTAAATACATTTCTAATTAATATTATCAAATATTTATAGAATAAGTACAACGGCTCTCTCTCTCCTTCTTTTTTTCAAATTTTTTAATTTTTTTTCGCGGGTTATCGAGTTAACCGTGACCCGTGAAGGTGTAACCCACGAAACCTGCGGATCACAACTCCTTGACTCATGAACCGCCCGCTAGGATAATGGATCGGTCAGGGATCCCTAGTCGATCAGGACCAATTTCAAGGGTTTGGTCGGCCCGTCCGTGTTGCCACCTTTAGAGACGATCAGTAAACACTTTGTAGACCTTTTGATCCGTCACTTCGATTTTATAAATAATATTGTTTGATTTGTGAAAAAGCTATGAAGGGATTACTGCTCTCGATATGGATTTTAGCTCACTAGATTTCAATAAATAAGGCAATTTCTTGAAGTAGTTTTCAATGATCCACAAAAAAGTATTTACTCTGCACCTTTCTTGTACAGTTCTCTTCTCTTTCAGAGTTCATAAATGTGGGCAAGAACAAACGGCTAACTGATATCGACATTTGCCTAGAATTTTCTGAGGTTGGTACACAGCATTCAATATTCGGACTTCTAGAATGTTTAGGACATGTTTGGTTGGTAGGTGTTAATTTTTTAATTACTTTTAGTTGAATATTCACTGTTCATTTCTATCTATTTATAATTTAAATCAATTATACCTACCAAACATCCGCTCCTATATTTCCTTGTCTGTTTAAAGGTATTGGGTAGGATTTTACTGAGTTAAGCTAGCTCGAAAAATTTCTCGACTTCACAAATTATTTAAGTTTACATATTTTAATTAAAATTAATTGATGGCATTTTCAATTTGAGATATGTTCACAAAAGTTTCACAGTTCATGCATTTAGAGCCTCCATAAGCACATTCTCTTTGCATCAAAACTACTTTCTATACACTACCATTAGGTATGACTTCTCTTGATTATGTATAGGATGAATGACTAATAAACCCTTGACTTGTTCTTGCAGAAAAATTATTTTCTACTAATTGTTTAGCCCCTAATCATTCTTTCAAAACTATTTTTCTCATACTCATTTCAATCACACATTCTCACCATAAAAGATTCTTTACGTAAATTCAAAACTTTTTCCTATTTTTTTAACCATACGTTCTCCAAAAAATTAGTATTCGAAAACTCGTTCTTCCCAAATAGGGTTGTTAAACACGGGCTTAATGTCTTTTATAGAGTTGGAAAAGATAGGTGGGCAAATCAACATCTCTCTGATCTCTCGACGTGGAAACAAAGGCTCCTTAAACGCAAGAACGATCCTAAGAATCATGTCATTAATGACTATTGTGTTTCTTTTTCATATTGCCAATCTAAGAAGAACAGTTAAACAGTAGTAAATTTCACCAGCCTTAAATGCAATCCTGTATGTACCTTCTGAATCTCAAAAGGAGTCACAGTGCCTCATAAATGGAGACAGTTGAGAGATGCAGCACAAATATGCATAACTTTTCTACTTAAAATTATTGCTTATTCACATTCATTCACACCAAGAATTTTCTTTACAGACTTTTCTACTTAATAGACTTTTGCATCTTGTTTTGTTCTACAGTAGATATCATGGATTGGTCACAAAAGCTTTCCTTTACAGCTTTTATCATTGTTACAGCAGCCATTCATGGAGCTTATGGAGATGCTATGGTCACTGGTACTGTTTTTTGTGACCAATGCAGAGATGGCCAAATATCCCTTTATGATTATCCTTTATACGGTAACATCGACATATTTTTGTTACATTTTTACACGTATCAACTGCATATATTTGATTATCGATTTGTTTAAATTATAAGTCGATAAGCTGAAAACAATGTGCAGGAACTAAGGTAAAAATGGCATGTTCAGGCAGTGATGGGCAATTTACCACGTGGAGAGAAGAAACAACTAACTGGTTGGGAAACTATGCTCTGAAATTTGATGGCACACCGGACTTAAGTCGTTGTTACGTGCAGGTTTCGGGTAACGGGCAAGGATCGGGCTGCCGGGCGGCTGCTGGTCCGGCCGGTTCTCTAAGATTAATGTTCAGGATGTTTGATATGGAAATGTACACTGTGGATCCTTTGCTTTCTCTGCCTGCACAGCCGATGCCCTTCTGCCCAAGATCCTATACCCCGGCACCGGTCACTCCGGCTAATCCTCCACCTGCACCGGTCATCCCAGCTAATCCTCCGCCTGCGCCGGTCACCCCCACTAATCCTCCACCCGTAAGGCTTCCACCACCACCTCAACCACCAACGGGATCACCATTGCCCAAGTTACCGCCAATGCCCCCAGCTCCATTTTTAGAAGCTTCGGCTTGTTCACACCAGTAAGTTTTATAACTTTTGGCTAAGGGAAATAGGGGCCTGGTGGCCATGTCACAGCAAGTCTTGTATCTCCAACGAGACTTGTGTTCTAGTAATATTAACATTATTGAATGAAAATGGGGACTTGAAACGGGCAGTCCAAAAATTGTGTTGTGTCGCTCGGTCTTGCCCTTTTTACACCTCTAGTTTCGTTTAATTCAGCCTTGTACATCTAGAAATGCTCCCCTTTAATTTTTAGCCTAAATTTTATACTTCTGTATGTGATGACTCTTTATGCAGGCAGTGGATGATGCCGGAACATAGATGCTATTGGAAGGTGGTTACCCCCGACACCAAAGTAGCTGTCGTTTTCGGCATTGTAGCTGCTCGGAAATATGGCACAGACATGACCCTGGTTCAAGGCATGAATGGGAGAGCTGATCCATATAGAACCCTTTTAAGGGAAGGTACAACTGCCCTTCTTAACTCCTACAATAGCCTCCAGTTCCCATATCATCCTCTAGGTGTAATCCAAAACATGAACTGGGCACTGATGGGATCTACTCAACAAGTCCTTCGCACCGCGCTGAGATTCATGAGGGCAAACTCAGGCAGTGGTACCGCCACCTGCAGGCTTACTCCTTGCAAATGATCCGTTCTTCGTTTTGAATCAATATCTATAGCTTCTTCTCATAATACTTCTGCAGTTGTATTGTGTTCATTTATGCTGTATATTGATTGGGGCGACAGATAATTTTTCTTCGTTGGAAGTGATTTAAGGAGAGAATTTCTTTACCTGAATTAATTATAGTAACACCGTGGTTGTAGAACGCTTGTCATGTAATAAGTTACTGGTGTTTGCAGTGTAGTGCATTATCTTCCAGTGACACATTATAAATTCATTCTCTGATTTGCTTTTCTTTTATTATTGCTCTCTAAATAGGGATTAGAGCTTAATCCAAAACAGGTTTTCTTCGGTTAACAAAATATTTCGATTATTTTCTGATCGACTCGGGGAAGTTAACACAAATCATATTAGGTACTTTGAATGGAAATCAAACAAAATGGAACTGTGAGACTTCAGGAGCAGGAATTGTAAGCCTAGATCACACTCTTCAACAGTTCCACTAGTCGAGCATAGATGTTTAAACCGAGCCTTGCCAGGTTGATATAACCCGGTTTCTAGCACGACCTTTTTTAGGATTGCCTGGTCTAGGGGCTTTCAGTCCCAAATAATGTTATTTGTATATAATTGAGTTACATAATAATTTAGACACAGATGAAGTGTAAAAAAGAGAGTGAAGATTTTTTTTTATTTGGTTGAAAAAATTCTGACACGATCATCTCTCTCTACATTATGTGTTTGTAAATCATCGTGTAAACCATTATATACCTGTAGCGCAACCATTCAATCCCATATAACCCGGCAGATTTTAACACCTCATGGTGGTAACAGAGGTGTTACCAGATCACCCAGATGCTTGAAGTTTGAATCTATGGTAATTTGTGCAAGATGTGTAGAGGTATTAATTTTACATAATAGTCATCAAGTTCATTCACAATTAATTTACCTTATTTCTTGAGAATTATAAAGTGAACATGCTTAACATTTGAATCTTGATCTACAATTCAAACCAATGCTTTGAAAATCACATCCGTGGTTCAAGTGGACTCAATTATAAACATACCGGTTGTGCTATACGTACATAATGATTTACATATATATATATATATGAAGTGGTGAGATATGATTGGATCAGAATTTCTTCAATAAAAAAAAAAAATCTCAATCTCTTTTTGACACATCATCTGTATGTAAATCATTATATAATTCCTAGTGTATAAGTAGCATTATTCAAAACATAATATATATAACATATGAGCTTCATAACAATATAATAGACACCACTTAATTCATATTTAAAAAATATCACTAACCTCCCCTACTTTTTGTTTTGAGTATCATATTCATCTCGTAAACACTTTTTAAGCCATATCTAATGAATAAAATGTCCTTCTGATGAATTTTTCTAATAGCTGAAAACAAATTCATTAAAATTATAAAATAGAAAAATTATGATAAACAATACCAATTCATATGTTAGTAAAAAAAAAAACCTAAACATTTTATTTATTGATGATATATATCGATTTATATTAGGAATTAAAATTAGAACTCGAGTTAGGTTCATGTTGAGGTAATAGATTTAAATTTTACTAAGTATCATAAAATATTGAATGCGTCTTGGATTCTTGGCAATGTCGTGCTATAATAGTTGATTATCTAGATATAGCGAATATCTGTTCTATGTGGTGAGGAGTTGGCGTTGCTGGCCGAGTTCAAGCTATGCGTATATGATTATCTAAAAGAAATAACCACGAAGTCCAGTGAGGTCAATAGCTGACATTATAGCCTTCAACTAACCACTCCAGACTTATGCTATATGATGTTAAAATTTCCATGTTTCGTACATGATATTAGACGTAGAGGACAGTCAAGATGATGGAGAAACTTTCACGAGAATCGTGACATTGGATTCGGCTATTTCATCTGTGTTTGCAATTGGAGGGTATCCAGCAGTCAATATCTAAGCTAGCTATGACACGGACTGTATGCCATTTGGCATCTGTTTTGAAGGGCTGAAAAGCACAGAGCCTATTTTGATTGAGATTGCTTAATACCCAGATCCAATTCAAAAGATGTTCTCTTAAGTGGATAGCTTTCTTGAAGGAAAATCCTGGTTCGACAATTACTATTTTTAGGAAAAAAATAATGCCACCATAACTCTCACTCAAAACCTATCCTGTTTCCTCCATGTTTGCTTGTATATAGACTTGGAATAAAAAGAGAGAAGAGTTCTTGTTCATTATATGCTTATAGTGCCAAAGATATGGCATACTGCGTTGATCATTACATTACGGATATTTAAGTGTCCAATGTGTGCCCATGATAAAAATCATGGGTTATGCCACTTTGACTGAAAAATGTTAACAAATGCTTTGACATCATAAGTGTTGACAATATATGAGTGGATGTAAAAATTGATTGTATTTTAAATAGTCCAATGATAAGATGCCACGTAGCATTATGTCAAAGGACTATGTCAACTATTATGTTATTATAGCATGATTCAAAATCCACGGCCTCTCCCTTTTTGGACTTTATACTTGTGACTTTTTTCAGTGTCATATCTTATGAGAAAAAACCTAATATGATGTTTTTGCGTAAGTTCTCTTTGTTTTGTTCTCTCTTTTTGTATTTTACCTCAAGCTTCTTCACAAAAAGCAGTGTACAACATGGCAAGCTTTTATGTTGAGCAAATTAGTTAGTTTTAGGTCGTTCGCTCTTCAGCCCTTGACTCATGTCGAAAATGATCGAACTCATTGTCTCATTTGGGGTTGTCGAATAGACTTCTCGCCCTAGTTAGTAGGGCATGTTTTTTCTCCTTTAAAATTGTTACTTAGTTCGTTGTATAGGGCTAATGCATTTTTCCATTTAAAAAGGATACTGTAGCTTCCTTTTTGAACATAACAGAAAATGCAGAGAACGTTGTGCTTGTTTTGCTCTCAATTTCGTCTTTATTTCTTCTTCTATAACACAAATAGCTTCCCAGATACGACTAAAATCCAAAGGAATACTTTTAAACTATGAAATTTCACTCTGGATGGATTATCGTTACTTATTTCTATTATTGACCTGATTCTGTTCCGATGGTTGCCTTCTGGCAAGAGTACATACTATGCACTTTCTGTCAGGGCAGCTACAATTCAGGATATACAGACTGCTTTCAAGCAGAACCAGCTGACGTCGAGGCAACTTGTTCTGTTCTATCTCAATGAAATCCAAAGACTGAACCCCATTCTTAAAGGGGTTATAGAGGTAAACCCTGATGCTCTTTACCTAGCAGATGAAGCGGACACAGAAAAAGAAGGCTAAGACTCCCGGTTCATATTCGGACTGCATGGAATTCCTGTCCTTCTAAAAGATGACTTTGCAATCAAGGACAGGCTTAATACCACTGCCAGATAATTTGCGTTGCTGGGATCAATCGTCCCTCGGGATTCTGGCGTGGTGATAAAGCTGAGGAAGGCAGGAGCTATCATTCTTGGGAAGGCAAACTGGGCCGAATGGTTGGAATGCAGGAGGTGGACAAGGGAAGGTGTATTTTTCTAATATTCAATTGTTATGATTTTAAGAAACTTTTTGAATTATAAGTAAGACATAAAAATAACTTATAGGTTTATACAAACATGTCTGAACTACGAAGTTTCTTATACGTGCAGAATCCTTATGTTCTTTCGGTTAATCCTTGTGGCTCGAGTAGTGGATCAGCCATTTCCGTGGCATCAAATATGGTAGCAGTGTCCCTTGGGACAGAGACCCACAGCTTCATTATTTGTTCATCGAGTTTCAATTCAGTTGTGGGTATTAAACCAACTGTTGGTCTCACAAGTCAAACCGGGGTAATTCCAATTATTCCAAGACAGGAAACCATAGGGTAAGTAGTTTTGTTTCTGATATTATTTCACATAAAAAATCGGCCAACAGTTCAAATGTAAGTGAATCTTCATATGCTACTATGTTCAAGTACTATATGATTATCAGCTACCTCAAGAACTCGGAATCTTTATAATTCTGTACAATTATATTGGCGTCTGGAGTCTAAACTTTTGTCATTTGATAACTGAAGTCTTCCAATTTGTTGGATTAGGCCAATCTGCAGAACTGTATCAGACGCAGTTTATGTTCTTGATGCCAATGTAGGCTTCAACTACAATGATGCTGAAGCAACCTGAGAAGCATCAAAGTACATTCCTACTGGTGGTTATGTCCAAATCCAAGAAAAAATAGGCATGTTATAAACAATTTAATGGGCATACATCAGTATTTTTCTGCTGACACGGTGGCATTGGTCAGAACTTTTTTTTTTCTCTAAAAAATGTGGCCAGCAGAGAGAATATTCTTATATTATTAATTGTCTGTTCTTATGAGGTTGTATTCAATTTCACATAGCTTTTAGTACTAAGTTTCAATTAGTAGAAGTCAAATAGCTCCCCAGACACCACTAAAATCCAAAGGAGTACTTTGGAGCCATTCTCAATATAATTGAAAATAAACACATCCTAGATTTGTGTTAACTATGAAAGTTCACTCATTATCATTAGTTATTTCTGTTATCTGCCTGATTCTGTTCCAATGGTTGTCTTCGGGTACCAATACATGTTATGCACTTTCTATTGGGGAAGCCCCGATTTTGGATTTACAGACTGCTTTCGGTAGGATTTTGGGGTGGTGATGAAGCTGAGGAAGGCAGGAGCTATCATTCTTGGGAAGGCGAGCTTGAGCGAGTGGGCTGATTTTAGGTCACTTACTGCACGGCTGAACCTAGCGGTTGGAGTGCAAGAGGTGGACGAGGGAAGGTGAATTTGTCTACAATATTGTAAGTAATTTTTTTAATTCTTAGTCTAGACAAACATGTTTGAACATAAAAAAAGTTACTTGTTCTTGCAGAATCCTTATGTTCTATAGGCTATCCTTGTGGTTCCGGTAGCGGAACTGCTATCTCTGTGGCATTGAACATGGTAGCAGTATCGCTTGGGACTGAGACCGATGGCTCCATCATTTGTCCATCTAGTTTCATTCAGTGGGGGTATCAAACCAACTGTTGGTCTCACTAGTCAAGCCGGAGTAATTCCAGTTACTCCGAGACAGGATACCATAGGGTAGGGAGTTCCCTACTTTGTAATTACTTCATCTCAGTGACATTAGCTGAATTCAAAATTTCCTTGAATGCTTACCTGAAAGAACTAGTGGCTTCTCCAGTCCAATCCTTGGCCGAAGTAATAGCCTTCAATAAAAAATTCTTTGATCTGGTATGTGCTCTAATTCGTAGTTAATAGAGAAAGTGTACAATATGACTAAGATCCAAATAGTCCAATAGTGTAGATTATCATCAAATTTAGACAAGACGAGATTAGAATTAACATATGATGGCAATGATTGTGCGGGAAATGATCAAAGAATCTGACAGGACAAATTTTTGGCTGCTGAAGCTACAAATGGGATAGGGGATGCAGAAAATAAAGCTATATATGGAACTTAGCAGAATTGACAAGAAATGGATTCGAGTAGGGTCCGATGCATCTCCTGAATATGCAATTGGTGGATTCCCCGCCATTAGCGTACCTGCTGCCTACGATAGCAAAGGGTTGCCTATTGGCATATGTTTTGGTGGATTGAAGGTTTCCTAGCCTAAATTGATTGAGATTGTGTATGGTTTTGAGCAAGCAACGAATATTAGGAAGCCGCCTACATTTATTCCCTAAATTATTTGTGTGATCTTCATGTTTTGATTGTATTGAATTTAAGCGAGACTACATTGCATGGCATTGATATAGACATATAGCACCCGCTTCGATCATTACAAGATATTGATAAAAACACGTTGATCATTAAATGATGGGGTTTCAAGTGTTCCTTGTGTTTGGACCATGCCCCAATTCCAACAAAGTCAATAATATCACTATCACTATCCCAATCCAAATACAATATATAGAACATATTGCGACTAAACAAATATTTACATGTTTTGATACATTGATTTTAAGTTTAGACAAACATGTTTGAGCATTAATTTTTTGCTGCATCAGCTTTGTCAATTTTAGACGGGATGGATGGGCAATGAAGATTTTTCCCTCAAAACATCACCAGGACTAGGACGCGATGAAGATGTCTAAGTTACCTTAATATTTTCCGACTACAGGCTTACTATATTTTTATATTAGTTTAGGCGCTCTTACAAATTTACTATGAGTAGAAGGGCAGACATAATCATGTTCATCCTTTGCATCAAGTTTTTAGAATAAAGTGAGGATGATCCCCATGTGATTTGGCGAGTGTTTTGAGGTGACATGATAATGCCAATTAAATGTCAGGATATGAAACCTACTTTATTGACCTTATCATTTAATGTCAGTTCACATAAAAATGATCCCCATTATATATATGTGTATAGCATTATTCAAGTTTTTAATGTAGTGCGACTGTATAATTTGGGAGTTTTGGATTCTTCATTCCTTGGTGGTATTTTCATTTCTGTCAATTCGTGTTTTTTTTTCTCAATTCTTGATTCTGCGTTACTAAAGAAATTCTCCACCACTATTTAATAGTTAAGATTCTGATTTTGGTCCTGGTGGTGGCGTGTGTAGGAGGCAACGAGGCTATGGTGGTGCTTAACGATAGACAGCGAGACTTTTTATGCTATACAACTAGAGCTACACACAAAGGTGCAATCTCTAAATGGGATTTAGCATATCAGGAAACTGTATTTTTGCTTCCACTGTTTCATGTTTCTTGGGAGTTTTTGAAAATAGAAATAAATTGATGTTTGAACATTAGATTGGGGTTGATCCAAATACCCACATGACATATCCTACATTTTAATTCAAGAAACTATGAACATCTTGTTAAAATTTGAGGTTCCATCTTAAAATGTCAAAAAAGTTGAGCACACGGATTTCAAGATTAGTCTGCTCAAATGAGCCACCAACTTGCGGGGACATGTTAAGGGATAAAATCTAATATCGAATAAAGATGAAAACATAGACCAATTTATAAGAATTTGCGTTACTCCTCTTAATAAGGTTGACCTTTTAAAATGGAACTTCAAATCATAACATGGTATCAAAGTGCATTAAACTCCAACGAACAATTCGATCATATTAAAACTCAAAAAAATGAGCATACAAATTTCTAGATTGGTCTGTTCAAACTAACCACCATCTTACGGATGCATGTTAGTGAATAAAATATCACATCGAATAAAGATGAAAAAATAGACTAATTTATAAATGTTTGAATTACTCTTCTTAATAAGATTGACATTTTAAAATGGAAACCTAAATCTTAACACATCTTTCATTATTATCAAGCCGGACTTGTTGGTGGCTGCCAGGCCTGATGTTGCTATTGTACTCGCTATTGATGGATTCCCGAGCATTAGTGCACCTGCTGCATAGATAGAGAAGGGTGCCTATCGGCATATGTTTTGGGGATTGAAGAGTGCTGAGCCTAAACTGATTGTATTTTCGGACAAGCAACCAAGATCAGGACGCCACCAGCATTTCTACCCTAGAGCCGCACAAGTACTAATTCAATTTTTATGGTTACTCGTGTCAAACTAAATAGAGCATATATGTGGGTTGAAGATTGAATTTACTCAAATAAACGTGTTCCCTCGTCGTCGAAATTTCAGAAAGAAAGAGAAATCTTGCGTCGATGAACCAAATTGTAAATTCAAAATCAATATATTATTTGCCAGTGTGAAGCAATTAATACTTTGCTATAGCAGTCAATATTTCCAGTTGTCAATGCAAAACGAAATTAAAAAACTTGAATAATCCAAGTGAATAACATTGATTAATATATATTTGCTATTTGAAATGCCAGTTTATTGTGTCTGACAAATAAGATGAGATTATCTTTGAAAAATTGGTAATCAATGCACGATAATTATGTATTGAATGGAGAATTAATGACCAGATAATCTCAAAGAATAATACACTTTCTTATTTCTATAAATTCCAGTAAGCAATAGAATTTACATAGACAAATTAGAGATGGTGAGAGGCATACATTTGGCTTGGATTGTCGTACTCAGCATTGCCACTACATCAGTTCATTGCCAATATTACTCTCAAAGTAGACCATATGAACCAGTGAAGCTGCAAAAAACTCAACTCCATTTCTTCCTCCACGACACACTCAGTGGGAATAAACCCACGGCGGTGATGGTGGCGAGTGCAAATACTACCGGAAAACCGAACGATCCGACCCCTTTCGGCACCACATTCGCCATTGATGATCCTCTAACAGTAGGTCCAGAGATTACTTCTAAAGTCATTGGCAATGCACAAGGGCTGTATCTATCTTCTAGCCAAGATAAGAATTTGACCCTGGTTATGTACGTTGATCTAGGTTTCACGAGTGGTAAATTTAAAGGGAGTTCTCTAAGTGTGTTTTCGAGGAACCCGGTGACGGAGGGCGATCGAGAAATGGCGGTGGTTGGTGGAAGAGGAAAGTTTAGGTTTGCAAGAGGGTTTATTAAGGTTAAGACAAATTACCTTAATATTACAAATGGTGATGCTGTTCTTGAGTACAAGGTTACAGTTGTTCATCCATGAATTGATAAATTGTTGGAAATTGTTTTTGCTTGAAAAGGATTGAAAGTGTTTTTCTTTGATCGTCTATGAAAATTTGCATCCACTGGGATGATGTTGCAATTGTTTGTTTACAACACACGAGATAGAACAAAAAATTATGGAAAACTTACAGTAGCGGTCCCTAACCTTTGGATTTTTAGTAGATTTTACCATAACCTTCAGTTTGTGCCATCGAAGGTACCAAACCTTTGAAAAATTAGCAGCTGGAGTCCAACTTGGCGGAAAAACGTGAATTTCACCGTCAGTTGACCTGAAAAATGCAAAATTTGGATATTTTGACCATTTTAAGTAAGGGTATTTTCGTCAATCAAATATTAATAATTACAAAATTTAAATTAAGACAAAAAAAGGGGATCTCACTGCTCACAGCAGGTGAAGGCACTTGGGTATAATATTACAAGGACTCTGCTACATGGCCCGGCTCAATGACCGGGCCAAAATACAGGTGCCAAGGTGGCACCATACAATTGGAGTGGTCAGCCCCCTCTCCAATAACAGGGCGCCACCTCGACGCCCTGTCAAATGTCCCAGTCATTGAGCCGGGACATTCAGCAAAATCCCTTAATTTTTAGTCTACGCATGGCAAAGACAACTTTATAGGGGACACTATATTCTCGTTTGGTGTTGCAAATCCTAAAATTGTATTTTCTCTTCTACCATGTTAGTTTTAATGATGTCCAAGAAATCAAACATTCTTAAAATTCAAAATATCATAGCTTCGTCTATTTATCTTTAAGATATAGGGCTTGCATCTTGGAAATTAAAAGCAGAATTCTGACAGTTAGTGGTCCCACAACTGCCTAAAATGTATGAAGAAAGTCGACAATAGAGGTTACTAACGGTCCAAAAAATTTGGATTAAAATTGACACAAGACAAGTACGTAGAATCGAACTAAATGAAACATTCTTGAAGTTCCAAAACATCGCAAGTTCGTCATTAAAGAATCATACTAAATTAAACATTTTCAAATTTCAAAAAAATTGTAACTTCATCTACTTATCTTCAAATTACATATAATGGGATGCTCTAAGCCATGCGAAACAGAGAACAAATTCTCAGGAATATTATCAAACACTTTAAATGCATACATGACCAATAATTTCAACTTCAACTCTACCGAAGAGCCACATCAACCTTGATCAACATGATCCCTTATACTGTGCCCACATATTTACATAAAAATTAAGAGGCTTTTTCAGTGTTTTTTTCCATTCATTATCATCAGGAAATTTACCTGTAAGTGCAAGAGAGCTGTCATCTTTTCTACTTTCAAGACTCAACACAAACAGTTCGTCAGGAAAAACTTTATGCATTGCCTTCAATGTCTCTTCCATTATTACACTCCCATCTTTGCTAATATCCTCAGGCTCCACACAATTCCCACCCACATTTACCATTATTCTCCCACCCATCTTCAAATTCTTCCTCAAATTATACCAAGTTTGTGGATTCTGAAGCTCGGGTATCACAACGCCTTTACTGAATAAGTCGATTAGGATACCTGAAAACCCGTCTTTGATACTCGCATTCAGAGCATTCCCAATGTGAATGAAAAGCCGATCTGGGTATTTTGCTTCCATCTTCGTAAGTCCAAAGTACTCTCTTGCGACCGAAATCACAGATGAGTCCAGTTCCCATCCATGGATGATGATTTGTGGGTAAGTTTCGAGGATCAATTTCGCGGCAGACCCGGCCCCAAACCCGAGAATTCCCAATGGTCCAGGAGGCAGAAGAGGAGGCAATGTTGCGAATACATCAAAATAAGTGTTGGTGATTGACTTGAAAAGGTAAGATATGCTGTGGATGTTGCCGGGAGCATCGAGTAAGAGGAGTCTGGAACCTGCCAATGGATGGTCTGCTATCCTTGAAACTTCGAGGACTCGGATGTAGTTATGTCGGGATTTGAATTTGACTAAGGTTTTTACGTGTTCGATTGGGATGCCGTCGTCTTCGTACTGGGTGGTGGTGGTGGTTTGAGGATTGGGGGTTTGGATCCGGTGGGATTTGAGAGAGAAGGTATGGCGATAACTGGTGGAAAGTGGTGGCGGAAGACGGTATACGGCGGTTTGATGAAGGTTTAGTATTACAGGTTGGATGTTGATGAAGCTTTGGGCCACTGCTAGTTTCATGGTAAGACTTTTCTGCAGGCGCTCTTTTTCCCTGTGATTTTAGAGAATGAAATGTGGACCTAACGGTATTGTTACAGATGAGGAAATTTCAGAGTTAATTGTTTCATTAGCCACTGAACTTTCATACATGTCACGGTTTACTGACTCATCTTTAAAACTTATCCCACTGGCCATTCAACTTTAAATCGTCCCACTCCGTTGGCCACTGGATCAAAACCGTTAGTAACGTTGTCCACGTGGCTGATGGAAAGATGACGTGGCACGTTAAATTCCATGTCAATGCCATGTGTGCAAGTAGATTACTCACCGAACTTTACTATATGTCACGGATTACTCACCGAACTTTGCTCCATGTTGCGGATTACCCACTGAACTTTGCTATATGTCACAGATTACTCACCGAACTTTGTTCTATGTCACGGTTTACTCACCGAACTTCCAAAATTGTCCTGTTGGCCACCGAACTTCACTCTATCCAACTTCATCCCTCACCCAAATTAAGATGATGTTTGACGGGGATTAAAATTGAATTTTTTGGTAGATTGTGATAGAAGTTTTTGAAATATGTAGTTAAAAAGTTGAGGGACACATGAAATGGTTAGAGACGCATTTTGTCATATTTAATCAAAGCGAGATTCAATTATATTATGAAATGTGTGTTTGGTAGTGATGATTAGGGTTGGGCAAAAAGTCCGAACCGAATCGGATCCGAACCAAACCAAACCGAGTGGTTTTCTTAAATTAAATACCCGAACGAGTATCTTTCGGTTCGGTTACCTATTCTAAACCAAGAACCGAAGAAGAACCGAATCTCTCTGAATTTTTTAATTTTTTTATATTGGATAAATCAAATTATTTTAATTTTTTCTAAACAAAAGTTTGGAAGTTGGAGCATTAATTACCTAATTAGTTAATTTGTGTAGAAAAAATTAAAATAATTTGATTTATACAATATAAAAAAATTAAAAAATTCAGAGAAATTCGGTTCTTATTCGGTTCTTGGTCTAGAATAGGTAACCGAACCGAACTCATCGATTCTCGATTCAGATACTCGTTCAGGTATTTAATTTAAGAAAAACTTTCGGTTTGGTTTGGTTCGGATCCGATTCGGTTCGAACTTTTTGCCCAACCCTAATCATCACTACCAAACACGCATTTCATAATATAATTGAATCTCGCTTTGATTAAATATGACAAAATGCGTCTCTAACCATTTCATGTGTCCCGCAACTTTTCAACCATATATTTCAAAAACTTCTATCACAATCTACCAAAAAATTCAATTTTAATCCCCGTCAAACATCATCTTAATTTGGGTGAGTGATGAAGTTGGATAGAGTGAAGTTCAGTGGCCAACGGGACAATTTTGGAAGTTCGGTGAGTAAACCGTGACATAGAACAAAGTTCGGTGAGTAATCCGTGACATATAGCAAAGTTCAGTGGGTAATCCGCGACATGGAGCAAAGTTCGGTGAGTAATCCATGACATGGAGCAAAGTTCGGTGAGTAATCCACTTGCACACATGGCATTGACGTGGAATTTAACGTGCCACGTCATCTTTCCATCAGCCACGTGGACAACGTTACTAACGGTTTTGATCCAGTGGCCAACGGAGTGGGACGGTTTAAAGTTGAGTGGCCAGTGGTATAAGTTTTAAAGGTGAGTGGGTAAACCGTGACATGTTTGAAAGTTCAGTGGCTAATGAAACAATTAACTCGAAATTTCACGGAGTACGAGAACATGAAAATAGCTTTTCTTAAAAAAAAAAAAAACAGAAAGAACGAAAGAAAAGACAGATTTCATCTTGCAATTCATCGACTTGATCAGAAATTAAGGACGGACTCGTTATTCTGGCTAAAATATGTTCAAATTACAGTACATTATGATTTCTGATGGAATATTTAAAGACACGCAAAGAGTGAAATAGTAACTTGCGTAGTGCTTGGAAAAGCCTAGTTTAAATTTCATCACCAATGAATTACGTTCATAATACAAATTTCACCTCGAATGTATATCTAATAAGAGAAAAATAAGATAGCATAGGGAGAAAGAGAGGAAAATATTAAATTAAATTGATTCAAGATATCGTAGGGAGAAAAAGGAAAATATATTAAAGGGATTCGCTCCATCTTGAAAAACATCGACATCTTGACAGTGTCTATTTTATTCTTGTAACATCAACTAGACATCCTAACATGTTACATTCAAGAGAATTTTTAAAGACGACATCTATTTTAAATTGTGGCAACGTTTTCATTACAATCCATATTCACGTTGAAGATGCTCCAATACTCCATCTTGCATGTAAGTGAGCTTTATAGCAAAATCAGTTATCGGCGACTGTTCAATATAGGTCCAGAATGGCCCACATTGATACGTACATTGTCAAGCTCTAAGAAATTTAAAATGTACTTAAGGTTCAAGCCGCTCAACATATGCGAACCACCAATACTCAACATCATCAGAAGACACTCCTTTCCTTGAAATGTCTTTGAATGTACATCCAACTTTTCAAGGACTGTGATCAAGCTATGACAAGACAGCAGACCTAATTCAACCAAACAACCACCACCACCTCCTCTCCAGGAATCAGACTACCAAAGTGGGCTGTGAACCTTTCAGAACATCAAATGACACTAAAGGCTTACAGGACTGTGAAACGAAAGTCCTTTTCTCCAGATGAACGATTTCAACAGGCATGATCCCAACCCATAAACTCAAAAGACCACCATCTTGCCAAACAACTTTGGTGGTTGATACAAAGATTTTGGCATTTTGCCTGCGACAGGCGCCAGACAGGCATATACAATCAACATATACAAAAAGGCACCAACTGATATCAACGAGTTATTCTAAGCTGTGTATCCAGAGTCTTCAAGATTATTTATAACTACATCTGAATACTTTGAATTCGTCACAGCACAACAGAGGAATGAGTGGTAAAATATTATTAAAGCATTTTCAGAGTGAATTCCACGTTCCGAAAGCAACTAGATATGATTTTTCTTGATCTCAACAAATTGGGTGTTTGTCCTTTTCGCGAATCCATTTGATTCAGTCATAATTGTAATAATTCCCAAAGGCAAAACAATCAAACCTCCTAGAGACAAACTGCTTGCCATACAGATTTATATCATAACATATAGAATGGCTCCACACAAACAAAATTAAGCTATCTAGAGAAAATAAACTTAAAAGTTGTGTTTTCAATAAATTGAGAGTTCAACTTGTTTATGTCATAAGATTTTACAAATCTTTAT